ACTCAATATAGGATTATGAATATCTGTTCAAGTATTTTATATTGTAAACATGAAATCGATATAACAGATTCGACAAAATTTCTATATGTTTTTAAAAATCATTACCGAACGTCCGTTACATATATTTATAAAAAAAATGTTATGTAATATTAATCAAGCAAAAGATAGGTTTATTCTGCGATAAAACATCGCATTCATTACTTGCCATTTCTCACGCTACAAAAAACCGCTTGCCCGTATTAATTGAATATATGCTTAATCATTGTAACCGATCGGTCGATGACCAATAAAATTCAGGATTTTATTAGCTTTAGGGGATCAAAGATACCATATGATCAAAGACCGGAAAACTAACCGGCTTTCATTGTGTGCATTATGGGTGACCCAAATCTAAAATATAATGAAGTCAACACTGCGAGTGGGAAACTTTTTGTTTTAAAGCTCTTTCGCGAAGTTAGACAACTAAAATTAACACAGATTTTAACCGTCACCATTAACCACCCTACTTCACACATTATTGTTAAGCTATGAGCGCTAAACGTTCAAAGGGGAAGATAAAGGTACCAAAAAAGTCTGTAAGTTATCGTTAGATTTACCCGACGTGAAGTGCGTCATTAGACTAGGTGCAAATCAAACCCGCTCCTTCCAGCTTGTTTCAAACTTAGTGCTGAAAAGTTGACAGCATCTGCTACTACTTTTGCCCCCTTTATAGTTAGTTTGGTGGCGCAGTATGAGTCCCTTTTTTACTTAATGACCTCACGCCTTCTCATTTCCAAAGATATGCTAAACCAAGATCAAAGGAAAAGCTAGCTAAAGCTAAAACCTACATTTTTGTCAATTTGAACAATAGTCTAACAAAAAAATAAAATTTAAAATGTAAATATCGAAAAAAATTGAATTTTATAACAGTTAACATATAAATTTGTACTTTTATAGAATCCATCAGACAGCCAGTTTAATGACAACTGGGAAAGATTGGCTCAAGCGATCCGAGAAATTCATAAAAAGAATGCTTCGATTCTCAGTTTTGAGGAACTCTATCGCAATGCCTATAACATGGTTCTTCATAAGAATGGCGACAAACTATATAATGGCGTTAGGGAGGTTATTACGCAGCATTTAGAAGAAGTTGCGCAAGCACAAATTGTGCCTGCTTTTCCTGTATCAGGTGCAGGTACTTCTCACGGGGGTGCTGCAAATGGAGCTAGTGGTGCAAGCTTTTTAAAAATCTTAAAAAGTGTCTGGGAGGATCATACTACTTGTATGCTGATGATTAGGGATATTTTGATGTATATGGTATGTGTGAGTGGGGGTTGGTTTTTTCGAAAATTGCGCTTACGTCAACTTCGATTTACTTTATTTATTCAAGGATCGTGTATATGTTAAAACAGCAAATGTTCCATTAGTATACGATCTTGGATTAGAGCTTTTCCGGGATACGATAGTCAGATCACCAAATTATTCAATTCAAGATCATTTGTTAGATGTATTGTTACAACAAATCCGCTTCGAACGTGAAAACGACATAATTGACCGATCGGCAGTCAAAGCAGCAACGGAAATGTTGCTACAATTAACAGATTCTTCACAAACAGGCGACACTGTATACGCTGCCGATTTTGAAAAAAAATTCCTGGAAACAAGTAAAGAATATTACAATTTAGAAGGTCATACGTTAGTAGAGAAATATGATGCGGCTGAATATATGAAAAAGGTTTCTTTTATTTGTGTATTTATTTGGATGTTTATTCGTGATTACTTTGAAATGAAAATTGAGA